TTTTTGTATTTTTATTAATAATGGAAATAAAATACAAAAGTTAAAACTAACCAAAAAGTGAAATTGTTTTCTTGTTTGGTGATAAATCAACAATTCAACCTTTTAGGTCAAATGTGTCAATCCATAATGTCATATTAAATAACAACAACGAAAAAAATAAAAACACAAAAATATAAAATATATAAAAAACATTTAGTCATATCTCTAAATATTTTACACTAATTGTCTAATTAACCACATTAAAAAAATATGTTTGAGAAAGAATATTTGGTTTCATTGATGATGAAAATAACATACAAATTTAAAACCAACCAAAAAATGAAGTTGCTTTATTGTTTGGTGGTGAATGAACAATTTAACATTTCCGGTCAAATGGAAGAAAGCATTTTAGACATCTTAAATATCATATATTCATCATAATAAACAAAAATAAATATTGATAAAATAGTAATATTTTTATACATATAAAAATATAAAATAATTATAAAAAATTTATATAAATATTATTTACTATCATCATCATAAAAAATGGGAAAATTATTGATTAGTACCTTGTACTTTAGGGTTTGTGTCAAGTGAGCCCCCAAACTTCAAAACATGTCTTTGCAATACCTTGAACTTTCAAATTATGTCTGATAGGTCCCTACTGTTAGTTGATTGCTAGTCAACACCATTATCGCCATTGTACTAGACCTATTTTCATCCAGAGACATTTTAACGAGATTCATGAAATAGAGGAAGCCTTGAGCCTTGAGTAGTATAATTCTTCTTCCGGTTCCAGTTGATCTTTGAATGTAGGAGTTTAAATAGAGGAGCGAGAGCTTCAACAGTTGATTGATGTTCGATTTTATAACCCATTTCCTTTTCTTATTTTTTTTTAATACTTAAACAAAATGGGTAAAATGATAAAAAAATACTAAAATTATTATGGTATTAACCACACTCGACTAACATGGGAACATATTAGACACAATTTAAGGAGTTTACACAAGTATAGGGAAATTTTGTGATCAGTGTGTATATTACACTGATCACAAAATTTCCCTATAAAAAAATTGCCTCCGCAAAGGCTCACTTTTTAATAAAACCAAACCGGTCGGTCGAGAATCGGATGCGAATCATGCGATTCATTTTCACTCTACCAGCGGGGAGTGGGGACCGGGGGAGTAACTAATGCTGGCCAAGGTGGGGATAAGAATAAGAGCCATATGTATGTTGACGCTTTGACGGTCGAGGATGGGGCGACTGCGAGTGATGGACTACGCGCCAAAATCAATCAGGCGTCAAATAAATTTTCACCAGTTAGGGTTTCGCCTTGGTTTGTCCCCAAACCAAATCGAATTGAGGGGATAAGGAGGGAGAGAGGGAATGATGAGTTCACGAGAGAAGGATCAGTCGACGACAACGACGACGGGAGCGGGGACGACAACACATCAGCCTTACTTGAGTAGCCTCGTCGTCCGGCCTACCGAGAGCGGTGGAGGTAGCGATTACGAGCCTGGAGAAGTCCGCAGAGATCCTCCTTATTCTCGTTCGGATCGATTCCATGAAAGCTCAGGTCTTGTATCTGGCTGTTCTCCTTTTTTATTTCCCCTTCCGAGATTTCGTAACTTTTACTTATTTATTTTTTAATACAAAGATAGGGCTTTTCCCTGTATTGCTAGGTCTTATAAAAACCAACGGTTTTGTGTTCTTATTTCCTCTCCAAGCCCTAGAAAATCAAGCGGCCCAACCTTTTTATTTTTTAAATGGCTTCATGATTCTTGCATGTCGTTACATCTATAAATTCAGAGAACGCGCCGTCTTCTGGACGCGTAGATCAATCACTTCGGTCAGCTTAACAAATTCTGGCTGGGTTGAAGCACACTAAGTTTGCTGAGTTTCAGACAATGTTTTGGGTGTACTTTATTAATTGAATTAAAAATCTCATGTAATATGCTTGATGCAAATGGTGTTATACATTATCTCTATATGTTTCTTGCCATTTATTTTTATTTTTATTTTTGTGCATGTTATGATGATTGCCATTTTTCTTCTCGTTTTCCTTTGATGAGTAGCGTGAAAAATTTGTTAAGGTCAAGAAAACACAATGCTATTATTATGCACAAAAGACAAGGCCTATGGCTATAAAGGACATGGTCTCGCTATAGGCCGGGAAAAAGCAATTCAAGAAGAAAAAACTACAATAGAGATGATCCACTACTCAGTAACAGTTGCTCCCCAGAAATGTTCGCTACTCTAAATCCCTACCCTAGCCAAAACAACAACAAGATGTTTGTCACTTGAAAGGTGGAGTTTTGACCCACCATTTTGGCTGTTAACCAAAACCTGAAATCCTTACACAGTTTAAGAAGAATGCATGTTGTTCTACGCTTCTACCTTTTTATGTTCCTTCCCATCTGTATGTTTCTTTCCACCTATGTGTATGAAAAGAACTCCCCCTAAGGCATAATATTTTGTTATGACTTCATATTTTCGTAACTTGACTGGTAATATTCATCTATAGAAGTGCTTGTTCTAATAAATTTATGCTGGTGTATTAGATAGTATTCACAGGAACTGATTTATGCCTTGTACTTCATGCTGAGTATATGGGTCTAACACCTCTTATTTATGGAGGAAGAAATCAAATTGAGAATGAACTTTGCTGTTCTGTGTTACAGCTTTCAAAGTTGCTTGGTGCAAGAACTTTGGTATTGAGGAAAGAATTTTGGTTTGGGTGCGGGGCTGGGAATCTGGAGAAAAATGTGTTTGATCATCGAGGAGAGACATGCTGTTGTTCATTTTCTGTGATGGCAATGTGTGTGTGATATGTTGAGCTTGTGGGATGCTGAAGTAATTTAAGTAACTGCATCTCTCCAACTTTGCTGCTCAAGCCATAGACAGGTGTTTTGATTTGATTTACTCTTGGTGTTCCGACTATCTTGCAAGCTTCAAATCAAAGCTCAGTTATAATATGTACTACAAGGTGTTTATGCCATTACTTTAAGATGATAGGTGTTAATGTGTTTAGGGTTGGGAAGGCTTTGAAATCATTCATGCCATTATTAAATGGTTGTTAACAAGAGAAGGTGGTCTTTGGTAATGATTTATGAGTTTTAAACAATAGTAGGATTAGGCGATTAGCACATCTCATGTTCACCTCAATAAGAATGGAGGTTTAGGAATGCTATAGTGTTGATGGAAATTATGAGGGAAGCTGGGTTTTGTAATTTCTGGTTGAAGCCTGTTGGTGATATTGAGAATTTGGTATCCGCTTTCTCCTTCAATTCATGGAAAGCCACATATTGATGTCATGTGCAATTTTAGGTTTTATGATCATTTTCTGAATTTGTCATGGTTTAAGTTATTCTATTTGATACTTAGTGGTCTGGTAATCATCTACATAATTTGTTCCATCTGGCTGATTAAATAAAAGTTTAAGGCAGGACAGAATTTTTTTGGAGGTGGCAGAGTAGGTGGAAAAGCTTTGGTATTTGGGAACTTCTTATTCTTGTGCAGCTTCAATTACCTGATATATGGAAGGTTTAAATTGTTTGCAACACTGTGAAAGCTATTATTCTGCAATTGATTCAGAAGTTGTGGATAGAAATATGGAATTCCAAATGGAGTTTTTTTTACTTGAAACATCCATACTGCAGGTTCTTTTTTCCCAGTCCAAAGGAATCTGTAGTCATAGACAGTCATAAGCAGCTATTATTTGGGAAATGTGATCATACCAACTATTCCTCTGCAAGTAGTTATTGGTATGCTGCTAATCTTGGACTGCTATTTACTTAAAACTCTTATTGGGTAGCTATTTTTGGGTTGCTCAGAGAACTGATAAGGTAACAAGATGGTTTCTGAAAAGAACTGGCTGCATTTAGGTGCTGGTTGTTGGCTATCACTTGTGGATACTTGCCATTTGATGGTTCGTTCTCATTTGAGTTTTCTCTGTTGCTTCCCCTGCTAGCAGGGTTCTTCTCGTGAATGAGATCTCCAAACAAATTACCATGTGGGTCTTTTTTTGGTATAGGTAGTTATTGTTTTTAGGTATATAGTATTCTTTTTATCTGCAATTGTCAGATTTGGATGAAATGCAGTTTCCCGGCTTGAGACCAAGGGATATGGTCAAAGTATTTGGTACTACAGATTCATGATATTGTTTGGTATGCAGATGCATAGGGCTTAAAACTCTATAATCATGTAATGGTTTACATGGATAGATGGATAAAGCTGTTTCACCTAGGTACACTGGATTCTTTTAAAAATGAGGATTGTGGCCTATTGTTTACTGTGGTGAGTACTGGTCATTATGGTGCGGTGTGATTATGAATTCAGTTATATTTACTCTTAATATTGGGCCAGTTGCTTCTGAAGTAGAGAACACTGGTGGGTATTTCTTGAGCTTTCTACAATCTACTGCACTAATATCTTGTTTTTGTTCTACTCGTGTCCCATATGGAGGGAGAGACCATTAATGCAGGTTGCTGTTATTTGCAAACTTATTTGGTCATGGATGTGTTCTGTGGGTCATGAAGCTTCAGCTCTCATAAACTCAATTGCAATCCGCCCGATCTTTTGATTGGATTGACACTTGACTTATATTGGACTTCACTGGCATCCTTTTCAGGATATGGCATGCGTGCAGGTTCCAGTTCTCCTATGCGCTATAGAAAGATCGAGCATCATTATTATTCTGATTTTGACCATTCAGGAGGCCCACAACGAGGTCGTGGATTTAGGGGTGGGAGGGGTCCTGGTAGATTTCGAGATTCTTCACCCCCTTATGGCCGAGGAAGGGGTGGTGGTAGGTCATCTGGAAGAGGTTTTGATGGGCCAGGATATGGTCTTGGGCCGTTCAGAGGTGAAGGCATGAGCAGGAATAACCCAAATGTGTCTCCCAGAGAAGGAGATTGGATTTGTCCAGAGCCATCGTAAGTCCATTCATTTTAATTTTTGTAGTTTAGACATGAGCATGGTATCATCATCATCACCATCATATCATTATCATCTTATGAATCATAATAGGGGAATTGCCAACCTTTATTATCAATTGGTTCTGCTCAGAAAGGATGCTCAAGGACCTATGTATTCCAACTTAGCAAGTTTCATGTATTGCACTATTTTTCTGCTTATGGATCAATTACATGGTTAATGCAAACCATCCATATTATTAATGATACTCTGGGTTTGCTAGGGTGCGGTGTCTTTATCCTTGTCAGTCCCATAATCCAGTCTTCCAATAAAGGCAATAGTTCTTGTATTGGAGCAGTTTGGCAAAACTCACAAACTCTTTTCCTTTGGCTGCCGCAATGCTGCTTTGCAAAACTCAGTTGTGTGCTTTTTCATTTTTTAAATTTACAGTGTCTTTGTTCGGATTTAGCTTCCCTTGTTGGGGCTGTGAATTGATGCATACTTCATTTTTTGTTTGTTTATTATCTTTCTTATCGCATCTTCTTTTCATGTGTCAGATGCGGGAACCTGAACTTTGCAAGGCGGGAATACTGCAACAACTGCAACAGGCTTCGTTTTGGGCCCGATGACAGTCCTCGCAGGGGCTATCCAGGTCCACCACCACCTCATGCTCCACCATCACGCTTTTCTGGCCCCCCAGTAGACCGCTCTCCGGGAAGGAGCTTGAATGGCTACAGATCTCCACCCCGTGGCTGGGGTAGAGATGGTCCTAGAATGTTTGGAGCTGGGTCACCCCACCATAGGCAGGAAAGAAGGTTCCCAGATCACCACATGCGGAGGGATAGGCTGGATTATCGTGAAGAGGAAGACTACCGGGAAAGAAACCGGTTTGATAGGCCAGTAGCTCCTGAGTGGATTGGCGATAGAGACCGTGGAAGGGACTTCATTCCAGAAAGGAGGAGGTATGACGAGAGAATTGAGCGACGCCAACTATCTCCCCCACCTCCACCACCTCCACATCGCGGGCGATGGGTACATGATTTGAGAGAGAGGAGCAGGTCCCCAATGAGGAGTCCGCCACTGCCGCCAAAGGATTATCGACGGGATGGATACATGGACAGGGGGCGGGATGATCGACGGGGGATGAGAGAACGGATGGGTGATGCTTATTAGTTCGGTGCAACAATCAAATGGATGACTTCGGCGGACGGTTAAGAACATTTAGATGAATCTGATGATAGGTGGAATCATTCTTTCTTTTCCAATTTTTATCATTTATCTCAGAAACCTCTGCTCTTCGTAGTTGGATTTAAAAGCGATCAAAAACCGACATTGCCTTTTTTTAACTTCTAGCTTTAAGTGGGAGACATCTGATTTTGCATTGTAGATCCAATGTTCTTGAGAGGTATATGTAGCTATTGGGGCGCTAATTATTTTCCGACTCTGGGTTCACAAGGGGAGGTCTGTTAGTGGCACCGGCACCTGCCACGGGTTGTACGTTTGGGTTTGGGAGTGTTGAAGCTTTTGTCGGGTCGCTTTCGTCGAGCTGCTTTGTAGAAGCTGCCAGAAAAAGCTTTATGGGGAAGCCACGCTTTTTTTCTTGGTCTTTTTGGCTTGATAATAGCTGCTTGGGGCCTTGGGCTTTTTTATTGGTCACCAAGACCAAGCTCATCTTGTAAAGCCAAAAGCAGCTGCTTTAAAGCCATCGTTGGTACTTTCAGAATAAAAAGTTTATTGTCTAGCATAAGGGGGTGTTTTTTAGTGTGGGTGAAAAATTAGTGGGTGTGGATTGGTTTACACTAAACCTTGTGGAAAGAGATCAATTTACATCATATCACAATTCACAATTATTTTGAATTGTGGACAGACTAAGTTTACACTCAGTGTTGTTATGTTGGTGTATTGTGGGTTAATCCACATCACACTTTGAGTCAATGTATCTCTTATATGTTTTATGAATGATCTATACAATTGATCATAAATGTTTAATTTTTACATTTTATATAATAAATATATTAAAAAGGCATTAATAAATTAATATTAATTTTAATAAAAATGATAGTAAAATAATTATAAATAAAAAAGGATGGAGAAGGAGCACCATTGGGTTTGTGCTAGAATTAAAATTAAAAATATTTTATTGATAAAATATTAAAAAATTATTATTTTAAAATATAAAAATTAAAATGAAAGAAAAGTATGTAGAAAATATGTATTGTATTAAAATAGTGTGGAAATGTTGTGGACCAACTACATCCATGAGATATATGTGGCTTAGATTTTGGGTTGTGGATGGGGACGGTTTACGATATAGTGTGGATTGGTCCCGTCCACGACCAATCGAACGAGGAGTTTATCTCATGGTGTGGACCGAAATGGTCTATCCACGAGATGAACACGTTACTAAGCTCCACCTAAGTTGTCCCAAATAGGCTTTTAACTACCAAATGGACCATGGCAGGATTTCTTGAAATCAAAATTCTTGTAAATAGTAAAATAGCCATGATACTATTAAACGTAATAAAGTAGCTTCAAGGGGGCATTCTTTTTTTAAATTTTGAGAGGGGGGAAAGTTGGTCAATGGGATTTTGGTTCCCATTGATCAAGAATCCCATGTTCTTTTTTCAGATTTATGTGAGGATTAGAGAAAGTTTATTTTCCTGGGTATCACTTACCTGTTCCTAGGTGGGTAAATAACTTTCCTACCTAGGAGGTTGCAAACACTTGAATGAGACAAAAGTGCCACTTTTAATAATAGCTTTTTATGGCTAAAATGGTCATTACCCTATTTACATGAGAACTTGTCCGGGAACTTACCCAAGTAACTAACTACATTTACTTGGGTAAGTAAATTATCGAAAAACAAACGGGGCCCCAATATAAACATGCTCCTAGATGTTAAGTGCAAAGTTCGTTAAAGTTTTGTATTGATAAAAGGGTTTCTAACAGATAAGGGCAACTTTTTGCCTCGTCCTCCTCTTCCTCTGCTTGTATTCATGCCAGCAATTTCAACAAGTAAACGATAGCCCGTGTTGGCTTCATTCCCTGCAAACCCAACACCTAGGCCGTCATCTCCAGACGCCAGACTGGTGTTGCCTGCATTTCTACCACTACCTCCTCTGTTGTCATCTCCAAACCCAGACTAGTGTTGCTTGCGTTTCTACCATTGCCTCCTCTGTTACTATCACCCAGCTGCTACTGATTATCGCCAGTATCGATCATCTTGCTTTCCTATCGATCAGACAACGTAGATAGAAAAAGGAACAAACAAACCTGCTATTTGGTCTTGTTCACCCCGGCCATGGCTGAATAGGCAATGTTTGAGACGGTATCCCTCATGACTAGCATGAATACAGGCAGAAGAAGAGGAAAACGATGAAGCCAATGAGGGCCGGCATCTGGAGAAGACAACCTAGGTGCTGGATTTGCAGGGAATGAAGCCAACGTGGGCTTCCGTTTACCCGTTGAAAGGCTGGCATGAATACAGGCAGAGAGAAGGAATATGATGAACAGTTCGAATGCCCTTTTTTGATATTTTATAAAATTATTACTTTTTATTGATATTCAGGACAAAAAGTTGTCTTTATCTACTAGAAACCCTTGATAAAATTTAGTTTTTTTGTAAAAATTAAGTTCAAATACATTTTAGATTGGAATTTACACACGAGCAGCCTGGTGGCCTTGAGCGTCCTCCCAAACAATCCGGGAAGAACTAGGAGGCAATTCAGCCTCGTATACAATATCAAAAATTTTCAATAGGAAATCAACAGCCCTATTACCCTCCCTTTAAATATGAACAAAAGATATGGAATCAAACCCGAGAGAGATAAATCTAATTTGCTCAATCAAATCCCAGGCTTTCCAAGGAAAGGACATGCCTCAGTGAAAAAATAACAGCTGGTTGAAAGTCATGTACTACATTTTTTTGGATGACTTTGCTCTCATTTTAAATGCAAATATGCCTTAAAATTTGTCAAAGCCCTCATTTTCGGTACATAAATGATAAATGCACTCTTACTAAACGCACACGAAACTGATGACCAGAGTGCATATATGCATTTAACCAAGCCATTGAATGGGTGAGATAGGTAAAAGTTGAATAATCAGGATCCAGTCATTGATCCAATTAATAATTTTTGATAAATATCAGATAGGTAACATTGATCCAATTGATTGTTTTTCATAAATAGTTGGGGTTATAGTATGACCCAAACCGAGATTGTGGCCAGATCACCGGTTTGACTAGCTGATGAAGGATGAGGTGGAAATAGTGGGATCTACCATCCTAGTTACTTGTAGATTTTAGACTGTTGGTTCAACGCTAAACAATAGATTTTAATCAAACAATTTTAAAGGTCCCAAGGTTCAAGCCCATTGTTGAATAAAAAAATTAGGATTCGGGTCATTGACATCCTTTCAAAGAACCCCAAAAAACAGGTTTTCAATACAAGGTATGGTTTGGCATAGCGGTGTTCCCTTGCTTTAAAAAGCATTATCTAAGGATATTATCACCAATGGTTGAAAGTCATGTTTGGTAAGAGCCATCTATATCTATACATTAAGGCCCTGTTCGCTTTTTGGTAAGTTATTTATCCAGTTAAATGCATTTATCCATATTCTTTTATTTTTCTTGAGAAATACTTACCCAAATAAGTACATTTACCCATGTTCTTTTATTTTTCAAGTAAATAAAGCAATGACTATTTAAGCCATAAAAATCCATTATTAAAAGGGGCATTTTTATCCCATTCAAATATTGGCAACTTCCCCTTATGTGGGAAAGTTATTTATCCACCTAGGAGATGGGATGAGTATCACTTTCCTGGGCAAGTGATACCTAGGAAAATAAACTTTCCCTGGTCCCCACACAAGGTTGAAAAAAGAACATGGGATTATTGGTCAATGGAAACTAAAATCCCATTGACCAACTTTCCTCCCTCTCCAAATAAAAAAAAAAAAAGATCACCCCTAAAATGTAATGTATTAAGTTGGCACTTTTCTGTTTTCTGGTTATTTTTGATAATCATTTATCTCTTTTTTGTTTTGTTTTGTTTTTTTTTTTCATTTTAAAATTGAACTAAACAAATCAAGTGGCTAATAACATTTAATACTTTTGTCTCCTATCATTAGCTCCCCCTCCTCTTTCTCATAAGCTCTTTTAATTATCTCTTCTTGTTAATTATGCCATTAACTCTCTCCTTCAATAATTCATTCCATTAATTCTCTTTCCTCTTCATTACTCCATTAAATTGAATAAATTCATTAGCTTTATCTATATTTACAACTTATGTCCATTTCAATTTGATTACAATTTTATATACATTATGTCAAATTTGTCCTTCACTATTCATCAAATTTTCAAAATAAAATCCAACTGATAAAAATTTTTAAGAACTACATTCCTCTTTCAATCTACTTCTCCACTAGATTTGGGGTTTTCTTCTTCCTCTGCTTCTATTATGGAATCCCAGGTTTACCATATAACAAACATAAAATTAGAGGGCCACCATTAATGACAAATGAGTAGCGACGACTCTATTTTTTCAAGGAGAGGAGCTTCTCCCAACCACTCCACCCCTTCCAAAAAAATTAAGAAAGAAAAAAGAAACAACCCAGAATTAAGATATGCTGAATTACGCCATTTTATTTCCCTCTTCTGGATCTTAAGGTGGCTGGTAATGCTAGATGCAAGGATGACCGGCATCGTGGCAACAATGGTTTTTACAATGGTCGGGCCCTTACGATATGCTGAATTACGCCAATGGTACTCACTTCTGCTCGGAATTGTTCCTCTTGCTTTCTGGAACTTGTAATTTTCTTGACTGCAATGTCTGTTGAGTTGGGCAATGTACTTCTTGTAAATAGAACCAAAACCTCCTATTGGGTTATTGGTCATTATTATGATGGTTGTTTGTAAGTGTAGGTGGTTTTGGTTGCAGGGGTCATTGCTGGCACGATGTCTATTGAGTTTGGCAATGTACCTTTGTAAACAGAACCAAAACCCCCTTTTCCTAATTCCAGAGGATATGTTTTTGGACGAACCTGAACCTACGGAAGAGGAGTGTAATTGACAATCATCCAAATAGAGGTAGAAGTTTTTTTTTTTTTTTTTTTTTTGAATTTTTGGAAAAAGTAACAATCACGTGATGTCATATATGACAGAGTGTGACGGAAAGTTAATGGCAATGGAAGTTTTAGACAATTGTCAAAAAACTTAAAGGCACTTTAAAACAATATGTAAATAGTAAGGGTAGAATTAGTCGATTAGTTAAACCATAAGGGTAGTTTAAGAAATTTGCCCATATATTTATATTAAATTATAATTATCAATAAAACAACTATATTGAAATGGGGATATTCAATTATATATTATTAGATAATTTACTTCAATTTAAAAATAATTAATTATATAATTTATATTCTAGAATAAATATTATT